GTATTACTTCAATGTTTCTGAATTTGGACAAGTTTGCTTTGTGGCCTAAAATGGAAAATGATCCATGTGCTGCTGAGAAAAATGTGTATTCTGATGCTTCTGCATGAAATATTTGATCTATGCAGTTGTTAGAATCTGCAGTTTCTCTGTTGAGTTGTTGCCGAGTTGATCTATCCAGTGGGGATAGTGGTGTGTTAAAGTCCCCAACAATTACTGTCTTTGGATCTATGTGGGATTTGAGGGAAAGGAGTGTTTCTTGGATATATTTGAGTGCTCCGTTGGTTGGTGAATAGATATTTAGAATTGTAATATGCTCTTGCAGGAGAGATCCCTTAATTAGTTTGTAGCGACCTTCTTTATCTCTTTTCACAAATTTTACTTTGAAGTCTATTTTACCTGGTATTAGGATTGCAACTCCTGCCTGTTTATGGGGGCCGTTTGATTCTTGTATCTGAATAGGCCTATTTTTGGGAAGTTCTATGCTAGGATCCTGTTAAACAAATTTTCTAGACCACTAACTATTGTCTCTAGGTGCTCCTCTACACCTAATATCCTCAGATTGGGCCTTCTGATGGTGTCTTCCAAGTGTTGAATAGATCTATCTTATTTCTTGGATTTGTCTTGGATGGTTGTATGTTCTTTCTCTGTAATATCTAGGTTGTCTTCAATCCCTAAGATTTGATCTTCTGAATGGTCTAACCTACTGTCAAGATTTTTCTACTTTGTTTTTTTACTTCTTTTCCTTCTAATTGGTCAGCTTTGATGGCTTTAAATTCTTTGTTGGAACTTTGTTTTAGATCTTGTATGAATCACTTGACTTCCTTAATTTGGTATGCAGTGTTTATTCGCAAATCACTTAGGTGATTGGCTATGGTTTCCATGGGCTCCTATTCCTTCTGTTGGGTTCCATTCAGCATTCCCTTTGTGGTGTCCCTGACTTCTTTCCGGTCTCTGTTAATGGATTCCATGAATGCCTTTAGTGATCTTTGTGTATACTCATCCTTGTCTTTCAATTCCTGTATTATTCTTTGCTTAGTTTCCTCATGTTCATGCAATTCCTGTAGTTCTCCTTGAGTGTACTCAGCCTGCTCATGCCATTCCTCACTTTCTCCTTGACTGATCTCAGCCTGCTCATAGATTCCTTTATTTCTCCTTGAGTTTTCTCAAGGAGCTCACGCAATTCCTGTA